CCAGGCAGTCAGAAAATTAGCTGAAAAATACTAAATATCTGAAAAATAACTAAAGCAAAAAGGGCCGGGGGCATGGATCAAGGGGTAAAGTGCTTGCCTAGCAAGCACAAGGCCCTGAGTTTAAACCCCAGTACCAAAAAAAAAAAAAAACCCTAAATAAAATAATAGCACACTCTACATAGCAATGTGTGTAAAAATAATAGACAAGTAGAGTTAATCATTTAAATTTGAGCACAGTGTCTCATTAGGAAATTTATGAGTAAAATTTATGAAATTTATGAAATTTATGAATTTATGAATAAAAACATTAAACAATTATGGAGATAATATGGTAATTACAACAGAAGCAAAAAAACCTGATAAAACTTCATTCATGATAAAGCATCGTTCAACTTGATAAAACCTCATTTGAAAACACTTCTTACAAAATAAGAAAGAAAAACTGGGGTTTTTGTTGTTGTTGTTGCTGTTTTGCAGTACTGGGGCTTGAACTCAGGGCCTACACCTTGAGCCATTCCGCCAGCCCTTTTCTGGGATGGGTATTTTCAAGATAGGGTCTTGTGAACTACTGGCCTGGGTTGGCTTTAAATGACAATCCTCCTGATCTCTGTCTCCTGAGTAGTTAGGAGTATAGGCATGAGCCACAGGTGTCTGGCTGAAAAAAAAAATTTTTAAACTGAAAAATAGTTGTGTCCCAAAAACATGGAACAAATGTGGCACCTAATAGTGAGATAATAAAAACTCAGGAACAAGATGAAGGTTTTGGTTATAACTTCTTCTACCCAAATTGCACTGAACATAAGAGTGAGCCTAAAAGATAATCAAAAGAATAAAAGTCAAAGAAGGAAAAATAGACATTACTTATAGCTGAAATATTTTTCAGTATTTTTATAGAAAAAAATTGGAAATAATAGCAGAGCTCAGCAAACCTGCTGGGTAAGAAATGAGAACTCAACACCATCCCCATGAGCCAGCAACAAGCAACTGAAAATAGGTTTTGAAGCAGTACCATGCATATGGAACAGGAAAGTCTCAAAGTATCTACCCAAAGGTAACTTATTTATTATGAAGTGGAAAAAGATCTTTACAATCTGTCACTAAGTCACCTAACTGATAAATAAGGTGGCTCTAGCAAAGGACTGGCTTGCCTCAGTGCCTCCCAATGCACTGTGACAGAGGTGCACTTGAAAAGCTCTCACTGTCATTTCACAAGAAGACACAGATGCTGGGCTCAAAAAACCCAATGCCATGAGAAAGATATAAATAAGGGACATTGTTCCAGAGCTGCACTTTTCAAACTTTTTGGTTTTAATTCTTGACAGTTATTAAAGATGTTAGAGATATCCTCATGTGAGTTTTAGCTAGTATATTTACCATATTAGAAATTAAAACAGAAAAGTTTCAATTTTTATGAATTCTATAAAATAACAGTATATTAACAAAAATGAAATATCTTTTGAAAAATAATTACATTTTCCAAATTAAATGCAAAGAGTCATACATTCATTTTGGCCAACCTCTCAAATATCTGTCTTTTTAAAAGAATTTTTAATAGGGTATATTCATTGCATAAGGGGGAATCATTGTGTCAATTCCAGACAGGCTTATATTGTACATTGGTTACATCACTGTAACCACCTTTCCCCCTTAAACCCCTCCTCACCTCACTTAAAGCAATTGCAAGAGGTCTCGCTGTTCTATGTCTAAGTATATGATGTCCACCCACCATCTAACCTTGCCTTAATCTCCTTCATTCACCCTCCTCCCTCCCACAAGTACCCCCCACCTACATACACTGTACCTATTTGATAGTCCTGTCTTTCCTTATTACTATTTAAGTCTATGCTCCAAGGGGTCTCTCAATGTATCCCCACTGTCTACTTTACTTTGGTCCATTCAACCCCTTACATTGCTCTCACCCCCATTTTTCAACAGCTTTCAATATATATCCTTATGTTTTACAATATTGTTGATGCTCTATTATCAAATGTCTGTCTTAACAGAAAGTAGCTCATATTCTGTGTGACAATGTGTTCTCTAGCGGGAGCATTCATTGTAAAACAGCCTTCAGCAGCTCTGCAGCTGGATATGAACTCACAGTGCCCAGAAAAGAACTGCATGGGCACTGCAGATCTAAGAAGCCACCCAGCCATGGTCCTGGGCTGCTGGAGCAGGGGTCAGGGGACCCCAGTGGATTACTTTTGGCAGGGATATGACAGAGGTTTTCTTTTTCCTTATTATTTGCTCTGTCCTGCCATTTCCAAGTTCTCCACAGTTAGTAAGAAAGTATTACTTCATAATAATATTTTTAAATTTCAGTAAAATTGCTTTTTTCCCATCAGTTTGCAACATTATCTTAGACTCATGTATGACAGTCAGGAAGGAATTATAGAACATGCAATTCTAAATCCCATGAGGAGCAAAATTCTCCAAGAGGGAAGAATCGGTGCACAACAATCAACCATGCAGAACAAATGTGACCCTGCAGCGCCTTCTCTCTTCAGATAGTGCACACAGCTGAAAAAGCAATGTCTAACATTCTTCCAGGGCAGAGTAAGCAGGGAATTCTAAGATCTGAGGCAGGAAATAGGCAGGACTGGGCAGGACTCTACAGGTAAGTTAAGGGAGAATCTGCTAGCCCAGAGCCTGTGGGAAAAATCAGTACAGTTTTTTTCTTTTTGTTTTTCTTTGTTGTTGTTGTTGTTGTTTTGTTTCTGGTCTTGCCATACAGTCCAGGCTGTCCTTGAACTCACGATCGTCCTGCCCTAACCCCCGAGTGCTGGGAGTACACTGGTCTTCACCTCACATCAGATAGCCTATGCTGTATAACAGAACGTCTCTGTATTGGGAAAGCCAAGTCTTGAATCTTACTCCTGGTTTAATTGTCAAATAATAACTCAGAGCTGCAGCTGTCTACTTTTTTCAGTCTCAGAGTAGTTCTAGAGCTAAGGTGTTATTGTCAGGTAACACATGTCCCTTGCCTTCCCTCATGAAAAAAGAAAGATGATGTGAGAAGCCAAAAGAGGTAAAATCCAAGATGGTGGTAGTGCCCTCTAACTGGCATCCAGTTCTCAGATGAGTACAAATTGCATAGATGAGGTGAGTGTTGTGTGAATTATTGTCACCACTCACTGAGCTGGGGAGAGCAGAAGGAAACCACCTGGAGAGACTATGAATTTGGTTCTGGGCACTTTAGGAGATGATGGTGTTTGCCTAATTTCAGAGAAAAAGAAGAGCTGAAAGCAGATTCTCGCTGATTATAGGGACAGAGAGAGAGGACATTAGAGATAATAATGGAGAATTACGGAAAGACACTGTCAGGGACAGGAAAAAGACAAGATAGAAACAACAGTAGGGTGAATGGTTCGCTTAGTTTATAGCAGGTGGGTTGCTGAGGACTGGTGGGCAAGGAAAGCAAATGGAACAGAGGAGCACGTGGTGAAGGTTGGGGAAAGGAGGCTTCTGATGGGAGGGTATAGGGAATGATGAGTACAAAGGACCCACTGCTGGTTTAGCTCTGTAAGAGAGGGAAGGAAAAAACAAATCTGGCCAAAAACACTCTTCCTGACACAAGCAAGGAGAGGATTCTGACATAACATGACTTAGACTGAGTTTTAACCCACGGTCAGCAGGTACTAGGCCAATCCAGGGAGGAAGGCTCCACGTCCCACATGCTCCTCACCTCCAACAGCCTCCTCTGTGCCTCACCTATGCACAGCAATGGTGTTGCTATTCTAATTGTGCTGTGAGTTTAGACTTTGGATCTTCTCCCCAGAACATAGTAATGATAGAAAATGCTACTGCATGTGTGGACATTTTAACCAAAAGACCTATCACCAAACAAAAATAAGCAAAAAACCTGCATAGGTGAGAAGTGGACAACAGATCACATGGAAATGTGGAGTGTGGCCAGGCAATAAGTCCACAGGCCAGCCCAGGTGGCAACGATCTGCATCCACAGGCCAGGAGACCTGAGAGCACCTATTCCCCTGGAACCAGGGGTGGCACTGAAAAGAGCCACAGCCACAGCCCAGGAACTACAGCTTGGCCAACAGCTACCTACGGGTCTGTAACCAGATCCTCAGAATCCCCAACGTCACCACAAGATGGGAATTCTGGCCTCCAAGCACCTGGTCTTGAATTAGGGGCTTGGAAGTCCAATGGACAGCTGCAAAAAAAATAAGGAAGGGAGATATAGGCAGAAGGAGGAGGACAAACTCTTACTCAGACCAAAATTCTTCAGCATATGGAAAACACTATGAAAGCCAGCCAGGAAACTCGATAATCCACATGAAAAATGAGACTTCAAGTTTAACAAAATGGATCTCACTGAATGAAGCACTAAAGAATGCCTTTCACCAGGAAGAACGTCACACCGAGAAGGAAGGCCCAGGATACAAACAACAGAGACCTCGACAAGTGTGATCTCAGCACATAGCCAGCATAGTCAGAGCACAGCAAGAGCTCATGAATACACAGGTAGGTTTTCATAACGAGACTTTTCAGATATTACAAGCAATTGCTAATGATGTGTTTGCAGTTCCTAAAAATAACTCAGAAATGCTCTATCTCAAAGGTATAGATTTATATTTACAGTACCACAATTTCAACTAAAAATTAATCTTTGGGTTGCCATTGCTTGATCTTTTGCTTGGGTAATCACTTTCTATGAGTTTGAAGTGTCAGAGTGAGCAATTCTGGTGCTTCTCCAGGGACCATCTCTCCACTGCTCTGTCACCTCTGGAAGACATATGCCACATCCCTCTCTATAGAACAGTCAAGTCATTCTTCACACTTACCCTTTGGTATTTCTGGGGGTAATTTCAGATTCAAAATGGCAGCATTTTAATGCACAGTTCCATCTCTTTAACTTTAAAGTGGTACATGGGGAGGAGGAAACTGGGTAGAAAGCATTTATAACAAGTCATATCTAAGACAACATATGGTGAATTCAGGGTGTGACTGTTCATTAAGTTTAATTTAGTAATATTCTAGCTTACCAAGTAAGTTCCCATTTCCTTTTCCAGGATGACTTGTTCATATAATGTAGCATCGATGTCTGCCTTTAAAGCCTGAACCCTCCTCTTCACCCGCACACCATGCTTCCTTTGGAGCCAGTACGGAAGAAGAGACTCCACAATTTGGTTAAGGATCTGGGAGGTAATCAGAAGTGTAGCCAAGCTCTAAAGAGAAGCACATACATCAAGTTTGATGAAGTAGCTTAATAAAACCATAGTGCATGTATAATATACAATAAATAAAATGGAATATTCAAGGGCTGGTGAAGTAGCTCAAGTGGTAGAGCACCTGTCTTGTAAGTGTGAGGTCCTGAGTTCAAACCTTAGCACCAAAAAAAAAAAGTATGTTCAAAAGTAATATACTATATAGCCATCATTAAAAACACTACTAACAACAGGTGTTGGTGAGGATATGGGGAAAAAGGAACCCTCGTACACTGCTGGTGGGAATGTAAACTAGTGCAACCACTCTGGAAAGAATTTGGAGGCTTCTTAAAAATCTAAACATAGATCTGCCTTATGATCCAGCAATCCCACTCCTGGGGATATACCCAAAGGAATGCAACACAGGTTACTCCAGAGGCACCTGCACACCCATGTTTATTGCAGCACCATTCACAATAGCCAAGTTATGGAAACAGCCAAGATACCCCACTACTGATGAATGGATTAAGAAAATGAGGTATTTATACACAATGGAATTCTACTCAGACATGAAGAAGAATGAAATCTTATCATTCACAAGTAAATGGATGGAACTGGAGAACAGCATTCTGAGCGAGGTTAGTCAGGCTCAGAAGACCAAAAATCGTATGTTCTCCTTCATATGCAGACTTTAGATCTAGGGTGACTACAGTAATGTGGTTAGACTTGGGTCACATGACACGGGAGGTATGGGGATAGGTAAGAAACAAAAAACATGATAGTATTTGATGTCTTCACTGCAGAGGAACTAATACAGAAACCTTAAAGTGACAGAGGCCAATATGAGAAGGGGATCAGGAACTAGAAAAAAGATCAGTTAGAGATGAATCAACTTGGGATGTAACACATTTCTACATGGAAGCAATGCTAGGAATCTCTCTGTATAGGTACCCTTATCTCAACTAGCAAAAATGCTTTGTCTTTCTTATTATTGTTTATACTCTCTCTTCAACAAAATTAGAGATTAGGGCAGAAAAGATTCTGCCCAGAAGTGGTGGGGGGAGGCAGGCAGTAGTGGGGAGAAATGGCCCCAAACAATGTATGCACATATGAATAAACGAATATAAAAAGTAATATACTATTACGTCATAAAAACTAGTATTAGAAAAGCTAGGTGTTGGAATAGTGTTTCTAATTTTTATATTTTTCACTGAAAAGACTTATAAAATATAAGATACAAGTAAGATTTTAATAAGAAGCCAGTAATAAGCTGGTAGAAAAATGAATTAACTTGAAGTTGTGTTCTTTACTGTCTTATCCTGACTATAACATATGACTCTAAATGGTATTGCCAGCTTTGAAAAAAAAGTTTGAAGGCTGGGTATGGTGGCTCACACCTATAACCCAGTAACTCAGGAGACAGAGGCAGAAGGATCTCAAGTTCAAGGCCCGCTCCTATCTCCAAAAACAAGAGAGGGGAAGGATAATAGCTCAACTGGTAAAGAACTTGCCTAGCAATCAGATGGCTCAAGATATTTAATCCCCAGTACCCAACCAAAAAAAAAGGTTGACTAAGACTTACTTTAAATTATAAAATTAACGCATTCTCTCACTATAGAAAACAGAATAAAAAAGAATTCCAACTGTAGCAGAACCCCTGACATATCTTGGGATTTTTTTCCAATCACATGGAAAAATAAAACTGTGTTTGTCCTATCTGTATATACTTCTGCATACTGCTTTTCTCACCTAAGACAAGCACTTTCCCAAGTCATTAAAAAAATCCTTTTATTTCACTCTAACACCACTAATGAAGTTTTATTCACTACTCTAAATGCTGCTCTGTGTACCTAAATTACTGTGTACCTGAATCATGGCCCATCTCTGATGACTTAGTAGTATGAATTAATGTTTCTGCAAAGCTACTCCAGCAGTATTCACATATGTTGGGTCAATTTCCATTTTCCCCAGATGATATGAGTCTGCCATCACACATCACCATTCTGGCACTATAAGCTTTTTTTTAAGCAAGCCTCCTCCATTTCCCTGTCCTCTCATGAAAAAAGAAGACTCTCTGAAGTGTAAAAAGGAGAAATCAGACCCTACTGGTACATTAACATGTGGGACCAGAGAAGGTATATACATCCTGCTTACCAATTCCAAATGTATTATTTTTAACTTTCTTAACTTTCAAAAATAATTTTTAAAGGTAGAGACATAGAGGACATTTAATTTTACTTTGACGCAAGCTGTTGGCACCACAACTATAAAATCTTTTACTCTTCTCTGATGACACTTTTACATTTTCTGAAAAAGAATACCTAGATTGCACACAAGTACTAAGAAGTCTAGGCTCACGATGCTCCTCACTGACCATCTCAGGATGTTAGAGCCAGGCAGGACAGCTCTTTGCTGATACCAGACTCAAGTATAAAGAGGAGAATTTGGAAGTTCTTAAATCGTACTTAATTTATTAGTCACTGGTATTATATTACCCGGAAATTACAACACATCAAAATAAGTATAGGACTTTCTCAAACATTTCAGAGATGCACTGCCTAGGAAACAGTATTGCATAGGAGTCACTGGTCTCTAAAGTTTAACAACCTATTAATTAAAAAAAGAAATTTGAAACACCTGTTTAAGGTTATGCCAATCACCCCCTCCCAAGGATAGCCACAAAAGCTTAATTAATGAAAACGTTCTTGCTGTGAAAATTGCTTTAACAAGATTTGAGATGAACTGTGTAACTGATTTTAGTACCTCATTCGATTAATTTTACAAGTTGGTTAGGTTTAACTAATTTATTTTCAGTTGAAAGGAATATACAGTGCAACTGCTAATCTTTAATTGAGAATTGGGTTTAGAAAAGCACAGGATTTAAAACATTTTATTTGTAACAATAAAATTTAAATACAATTACATTACCTGAATATAGGAAACCACCTCCAAGACCTAAAAACACTGATGATTATGTTATTCATACTCACCTGGCGCAAAAGCTTCATATCTTTCAGGACAAAGGCAATGTAGAAGAGTGAGGCGAAGCAATTCAGGAAGTTGAACTGCCAAAAGAAGATGACAATGTTAAATACTACTTTGCAGAACCTTATTACAACTATAAATTCAGAGTTTAAGAATATGATGAGGGATTTCTGTTCCAGACAGATGGCACAGAATTGTTTCTCCCTGTGCCTCCCTCTCGCTAAACACAACTATCAACTCTGGAAATAGACAGGAAAATGATGCAGAGCTCTGAGAGGTGCTTAGAGGAAGGTGAACCATTCCGACTTTTAGCAATGGGCCTCAAGCTTCTGTTCAGCAAATGAGTCAACAGGGCACCAGCACATCATAAATCCCCCACCCAACATAAAGAGACCAAGCCCAGCAAGGAGATAGGCCAGGAGGCTCACTGCTCCACTTGACTAGAGTCTGTCAACACCAGCAAGTCCAGCAGAACTGGCACAAGGCAGTCAACCAGGCCTGAGTAGCTGCACACTGCAGGGAAGTGCTCTCCTTCCCTGTGGGAAGAGACACCAGGGAGAGACACCAGGGTAGCCAGGCAGCCATGGCCGGGAAAACCCCACTGTGACAAGCAACCAGTCTCAGATGCGCCTTTGTGTCCAAGGACACAAACTCTCACCTAAATCAGGAGGCAGCCAGGCAGCTGGGTGGCACTGGCAAGGGGATCTTACCACAAAAAGGGCCAATACATGAAGCCTCTTTGTGCTTGTGGACCTAAGACTCCCCCTCCCTCATGGAGACACCAGGACAGTCGTGTGGCACTAGCAACCAGCCTGAGAAGCATCTTTGTCACCAAAAGTATGAACTTCTCTGCTCTGCCAGACACAGTGGCAGCCTAGGGGCTGAAAGCACCAAAAGTGCCATTTCTTCAAGCAGATTCCTGGCTTGAGAACCTGTAACCACCCCTGCACTGGGAGTTTCCTGTCTGCCTCCCAGTACTCATGACTTCCTGCTATGCAGCATCACCTTTTGGGACAAAGACTGCTAGGTGTACAAGAGTGAGGACATGGAGTCACTCTAGACATGAGCCATGAGATCCATATGGCCACTGAACAGGGATGCTAAGGCAGAGAAGAAGTTGAAGTTGAAAAGCAAACTGGGAAGGCTAAGAAGTGCTATCTCCATTAAGATTAAACAGAAGGTGAGAGCTAAAAAATCCAAGGAAGGAAGAACAGACTGTCACATGTGAGTCTTTTCACAGACACTGACCTAGCACTGGATCTGGCATTGCCAGGGAAGCAGAAAGTCTTGCACATAACTGAGTTCTTTAAGACAAAGGGAGAGTTTTCAGCTCTAAGGGTGAAAGCTCCACATTACAATCTTTTTAAATTAATTTTTTAATCATGTTCCTCTGCTTTCTTACAGAGAACACAGAGCACAACTACCTCTCTGATTTGCCAACCTTTTAAACATCAATTACTCCATAATGGGAAGGAGGCCTCAGAGCCCTTTTAGATGTTAGTGGCCACTTGCTCCTATTTCAAATGGCCAAACTTGAATTCTTATTATTTTATGGCAGTTTTCTATTTCCTGCCTCCTTTTGCCACTGTAAGTTTATCTACTTCCTGAACTCTCCTCATGATGGTTTCTGATGTTTTCAGGACTGAAAAATCAGTTAGACAAACTTCTTGGAATGATTTCTACAGCTGGAACAAAGACTTTTTCTAGGTATGGAATACATGACTTTTGCAGCCATCCCCGTGGAAAGCTCAGTGGCTGTTACACACCTTTCCTGATCCTCAGGGAGGCTACCCTCTGGTAAAGGAGGAACTTTTAAAGCTGGGACTTCTCTACTACTTATAGTAATGATGGAAAGAGGTGTAACCTGTGAGCACACTCTGACTCTTCCCTACTATGCATCAAAACATGCTAGGAACCTCTGGGACTTTGGAAATGTCTTCAACAAAGATTTTAAAAAAAGAATTCAATACTTGATCACTAAACAGATTGCAGGTACTTAAAAGGATTGCTTGCTGAATAGCAGCAAAATATTCAAAGAGGTCACTGAAAGGAAAACAATGGGAACATGTCTAGAAAGTGGGTAGTTGTAAATAACTGGAATGGACTATCACACAAATTTCTATATTTTGAAGTCTGACACCACACACACGTTAAGCCTATGGAACGTACATGTACACATATTTATTAATCAATCCTTGCCTACTTATACAAAATATGTTAATTACCTGGTAAGTTAGAAGCAACTCTTCTGATTTCTACTCCTAAAAGTATGTAGTAGCTTCACAATACATTTGAATTTATACATTAAAAACTCTACTTACCACCAAAACTTTCAGAACTAGAAGAGAAGGAACTCTTCTGATTTCTACTCCTCAAAGTATGTAGTAGCTTCACAACACATTTGAATTTGTGCATTAAAAACTTTACTTACCACCAAAACTTTCAGAACTAGATGATTCTGGTAGGCAGATTCCAATCTGTGGTTCTCTAAAATATTAAAAAGGAGAGGTAATTTCTCTCAGATAAGAAAACAATAGAGGGCTGGTGTGCAGCTCAGTGGGAAAGCGCTTGCCCAGCATGCACAAGGCGCTAGGTTTGAACTCTGGCACTGGGGGGTGAGGGAGGGGTTGGGGAGAAGGGAACAGATGCACTGTTGTGATGTAAAACAGGATGTGTGCTCCAAGCAGAAACATCCAGCACCAGAGTCTCAGTCACTAATTACCCTAGGCTGTCAATCACAGCCATTCCTTATCATCAAGAACATGAGGCATGGACACACTTCTTATGGTACTGCAACGTCATTGTGGTATAAAATTATTAAAAATATTAGCACTAAAAAGAAAGTTTGGAAGTGTTGGCAAATCACTAACATCCGGCCAGTTACTTAGCCTCCTGATACTCAGGCTTCTCACCTACAGGTCAGAGCTGACCACCCTCTTCCCAGGGCTGCTGTCAAGATCAGAAGTAATACGCAACCTCAGCCCAGAACCGGCACCAGCTGACAGCTGCTGTTCTCATATCACTAAAGCAAAATTTAAATATCTTTATTGTCCATAAAGGTTAACTTTAAGGTCCATAAAGTTAAGGGCTGGTCTTCATCCCAGGTAGTAATACAGCATATTTGAGTTTTTGTTTGAATGAATAAATAAATTAAAAGAGTGAATGACCTATTGAGACAATTTAAAAGCTCCACCTGAGTTCCCATTTTCCACAGACATATGCATGAACACTCACCTCTGCTGGCAGTCCTCAATGCCCACACCAAGCAGACTATCAGTGTTAGGGTACTCTGACCATACTGCATTTGCCCTAGTATCATGAAGATAATCTAACTCATTTGCCCTCAGTGTGAAGCACGATGGTAATAGTACCAGGGGCATAGGTTTTGGACAGATAGACTGGCGCTACAGTTTGTAAAGCATCAATATCTTTTATTCATAAAATGGTGAAATAAAATTCTATTTCATGGTGCCCTGAGGAGATGAAAGTGAGATAGCTGTAGATAAAGTGCTTACCAGGTCACCTAGAACATAGTAACACTCAATAAATGAGAGCCGTGATATAGAGATCCACCAGCTCACAAAGCCAATGAACTTCTCCTTATGTCTCTCTAACAAGCCCAAAGAACATCTATCATCTTTGCAAGGCTCAGGCTATGTCAGTCCTATATCTAAGCAACATTTCTTACAGGCCAGTAAGACATGAGTACAAAGTAGGAAGGCTTACCCCATGAAGTTAAAAATTCAGCAGCATACCGATAGAGGCGGTTCATGATCTCAATCACAATGGCATAGATGATGCTTGGCACATACAACAGGACACTGGTCCACTCAGACCCACTGTCCTCATGAAGACTCAAGGCCCAGTCCTCCATGTCAAAGTAAATCATCATGACATACAGAGAGAAATAGAGACAGAGGCACACAAATGGCAGAGAGACCAGGTAAATGCGCAACTGTCGCTTGTAGCTGGAGTAGAGTGGCTCCTCCCTGCCGGTGACAGCATTGATACCCAGGACCCCATGAAATCCTGGCCGGGGCTCCTCAAACTGTCTCTTCATGACCAGTGTCCCCCACCTATAGGTCATGTTTGCACAGCCACGCTTCCACACCTCAAGGATCACTGTAGACCAGATCAGGTTGAATGAGGCGAAGATCACATACTTGTCATAGTCTTCCCACACAAACAGGTAGTAAGGTAACCCAATGACAGCCATGGGGATTAAGGCAAAAGTGAAATATTCCAAAAATCCAAAGTAAAGAGCAATTGTTTCCCCGAAGTAGCCACGAATGCTGTCTATAATGGAAGAAAAAAAAGAACTTTAAGTAGAAACCACCAAAGATTTCTTTTAAATTATTTCAAGTAAGTTTATTTACTTTTTTCCTGAAGACACTCTCATCTCGGGGCTTCCCCTCATCTCCAAGGTTCAACTGTGGCTACTGAACACCATATTTGAATATTTGATCTATTCTCCTTACTTTTCTCCCACTTTAGCATTACAGTCATAAACACTCTTGATAGAGGAGACTCCCCATCCAGAACTCCCTACCCAAAGATACACATTTTCATCAATGCATGATGACAATTTTTTAAATACACTGAACAAAAAGTATTCAAAAGCACAAAACAAGATTCTTCACATTAACTTCCAAGACATCCTATCTGATCATACTTATCTATATCTTCATACATACACTGGGAATCCTGCTAATATCCATGAACTTAGCACAAGTTAACTAGCCCAGAAGAGGCCACGAACTGAACCTTTGCCAGCCTTGTCCACACAAGTGTACCTGGACCATGAGAGCATCCTGCATGGGACCAGAGTAGGATACAGGGGGTATGGGCAGGGTAGCAGTTGGAGTTACTATTTCTTAGTTCATTAGACACAGCTAAAATTTAGTTTACAGTTTTTAAGAAAAATGATCAGATCAGTCTATGGAGGTGGGTTGGAGTGAACTGGGAGAACCTACTTACTCCTATCCATAATTCTTCTAGCTAACTCAGGGGTCTATTAAAACAGTGGGTATAACATGATGGGGTTATCTCAAATCTGATTTGGGTTATAGGATATCCAATCAATGGGGGAGGGAGGTGGAGTCTCAGGGTACTGGGCTTTAAATCACACACCTTTCTCTTTACCCCAGCTACTACTGCCAGGCTTAGCACTCTCCAGAGGCCTTGACCCACTGTACCCCATTTCTGGGTTTCTCTACAAGCTTGTTTTCTCCTTCTTTCTAAGAAATAACTAATAAATATTATCATCTTACAAGTCATACAGGAAATATTCAAATTCATTACCACTTAAATGCCAAAACAAAATGAAAAACTATAGTAAGTATAACATAAACTATTTTAAGATCTGGAAGTACAAAAACCAAAACTTTTTCTTTCACAGACTACAAGTGAAAGTTCCAAATGCAATTTTAAAGTGTGATCGTCAAATAATTTTCGTTTGTGGTTCAACATTAGGATAGTTGTTTCTGGAAATGGAAATTAGTGAGGAAATTACTTCAGTACTCTCTTAAATAAAATCAAAAGAGACATGTCCTTTAAGGGAAAAAAATGATAGTAGCATTTATGGGCATGTCTATCAACTTAAATATAATTCCTATGCTTAAAAAACATAACCAAACCAAAATACCTGAATGTTCATAGTTGATGTAACTTTCCGTAAAGTATTGTTCAATATACACCATGACTGTATTCATAACAAATGGACAGTGCCAGTAATTCACCCCAACATACTTTGAACAGTGGTAACAGATGTTTAAAGTCTGCTAGTCTGTCCCAAGTATGAGCACACCTGGAGCCATTCTAAATCATTAGCTCCAGAGAAATAGGATTTCTCAAATACAAAATATTCATGGTCAAACCAAATCGTTATAAAGCCTGTTTGACTCCACTTCGGACACATATTAATGAAAGTGACTCTGAATTGCCTATGATATTGGTGAAATCTGGTAAAAGTCTGAGATTCAGTCAGTCTAGAATGAAACAGTATTGCAAAGTAAAAGTGACTAGGTCCTCTAACCCATCTGATCCCCCCAGGAGATGTTTTCCCACATGCAGCTGAGTACAGCACTAAACATCTGCCACAGAGGACACTCCACTGCTGACAGTGGCTTTCTATTAGAGCTCTTCCTCTTCCATGGGAGACAAGGATTGGCACATACCTATAGGCTGATACTTCAAAGTAAACCTAGTATACCAGGTGTCCTCAAGTTTCTTCAGGGCTTCATTGTCATGCAGTGGGAACACCTGAACCACGATGCCAGACGTTAGCAATCTTCTCACTGAAGAGGGAAAACGTGCCAAACCACATAAAACAGATTGGAGAATGCTCACAATACACTTGAGCAAACAGTGCAAGGACACTCCAATAACAGAGAAGCACTACACATAGGTCAATGTCATACTTGCCATACTGCCTATTCCGAACATGTAGATTCTTTTGTTTTTCAAAATGAAAATGTCTTTACTATTTTAATGAAAGCAATATAAGTTGATGTAAAATTCTAAACCATGTAAGCTGTATATGTCAGATTATGCAAGGTCCCTGTTTTGCTTTCTCCGCTCCACAAAAGTATGTGCAAACAATCTTCCATAAGTCCTATGTGTGATATATGGATCATGTGGCACCTATTCATTAATTTTTTATTTTTCAATTCTTTTTGTTTAACTTCCTGTCCTCTCAAACAAAAGCAATTTAAAGTATAATGAAACTTAAAAATATATACTGATGAATATGACCATCTTAATGTATAAAACAAAAATGGAATGATTTTATACACATCACATTGCTGTGCAATCTTTTCTCATGTAGAATTATCTAAATTTTTCAATACCAATATATACAGACCATGAAATCTCCTTTTAACAGTGTCATAATATTCCCCTATATGAACTGGCATGCTTTAATAGATCCTCTAACCATTCCCCTTTTTTGCTAGTATTAACACTGATAAAATTCTTGAACATATATCTTTTCCCACCTGTTTATACTTTCCTTATAATATATACTTAGAGTGGAACTGCTAGATCCAAGGGCATATATATTTTAAATCTGGACACATGATATAAAGTTGCTCCTAAAATTTTTTTCCCAATCTGTGTCCTCATTACAATGAAGGTAGGGAAACATTCAGTTCCTTTCATTCTTGTCCATACTGAGTATTTTCAATCATGTTCATCTTTTCTAATCTAATGACAACCACATATCCATAAATAGGAAATATCAAAATCAAATTAAGACTTCCTATTTTCAGCAGTCCTTGACTAGTATGGTTTTAACACTCATGCACATAGCTGGAAAAGACAAAGGATCTTAACCAGAGACAGCATCTCCTGGCAATATGAAGTAAAAATGAGGACATTCGCTCACTCCTTATAATTACTTAGAGTAACTCACTGGGGTGGGGAGGGTCTTCAGGTCTTTAGGAAGTATGTTCAGCAATGCCATGTGGGATATTTCCCACGAGGGTTCCTGATACAGTGTGATACTAAATACTGCTGCTTACAAGATGGAATTTGCATCAATAAAGAATGCTTTGCTGCTCCCGTCCACTGATAGGTTTGAGTTGATACTAACAATGGGAAAAAGTCTGTGTCTGAAAATAGAAGATTCTTAAAATATGGTTCTCTTTACAATTATATCTCACAAGTAAGTTACATGGGGGAGAAAAGACTTTAAAGGTAGGGCTGTGATGAAATCCTGTCTCTCAGTGATTGAAAAAAGTATACACTAAAAATAGCAGCAGCTCGGGAAAGAAGACATATGGCTAAAGTTCCATCAGCCTCTGTGCTGTTGAATCCATTTGTAAGTATTTTTATTCTAAAGTGTCTCCATGGATTTTTCTTTAGCTACATGAGTTAAAGTCCATAACCCACAACCACTTGATTCTCCCCTTTACCTGGGGGTATACCAGCTATAACTGGTTCTTTATTCTCCCCTTTTCAATCACCACACCAAGTTTTTAAACTTTAGCTGTCTATAGCATCTACATTATTATTTTACTATTTCCAAGTTCCTTTATAAAGATGATTCCACTCTACCATGGAAGACTTTCCAAACAGGCATTAAAAACCAGCTTGTAGATATCTAAAAATAGGACTGTGAACTGAGCACTCAGAGAGAATATAAGGCTGCAAAGTCCTAAATTACTGGGCTTCTCGTCCCCATCAATGCCAAAGCATGGTTCTGGTTTCAGCTTCTAAAAACAGAGGTTTACTTTTTTTCTTAAATCCTTCAACCTTCTTATGTCAGCTAAGCATGTAATTACTAGGAAGGAGCCTTACCTTGGAAGGAAAATATGATGCCATACAGGCCTATTTAAAGAAATAACTTAAACTACACTCTTCATCCCAGATTGTTGAAGGATCTCTTGTCAAGTACTGGGGTGGCTGTTATCACCACTAAACAATTAGCCAAACAAATCCAGATCTAATTTAAGGGAGACTATTAGCAGCCTGGTTTATAATGGGACCCTCTAAATTAGATAACACAGTAACAACAGTGACACAATACTGCTTTCAGCTTTGGTTTATATTATCTGATCACTTCAAACGGAACAGCAAAAGTCTCTTTCAGGACTCCTTACAGTGGCTTTGTGCCCCAGGGAGGGTAGGTCATTCCTGCCTCCTACAATCCAAAACAGGAGTGGTGAGTACAGTGCCATCAGGAAGTGAAAGTGGCAGCCTCTGTGAGCAAGGATGTGCCCCTGGCCACTCTTCTGTGCCCAGCCCAGCACCTGACTCCAGAACTAGGTATGAACAGATCACTTTTGTCAAAAAAAAAAAAAATGTTCTCAGGGATACTTGTATTTATCCCTGCTTTAGATATTCTGCAAATGTTGGTGGCAAAACACAGTGCGTGTGTCTGTGTGCATGTCTGTGTCTGTCTGTGTCTGTGTGTGTATGGCTGAAGCTTCTTATGTATGTTCCAGATACATGATATTTACTTGAAATCTACTCCATAATTCTTATAATGCTGAGTAAAGAATTTAGAAGACAGAATCTGCAGACTCTAACCTATCTATTTTATAATACAAAAAATATTCAAAAGAGGCTACTAGAGTGTTCTACAAGAATAACTATTTAATATTAGGTATATAATATGATATTGTCAATCCTGTATTAGTCTGTTTTTCTGTTATCATAATACCTGAGGCAGGCTAACTTTATTTTAAAAAGAGGTTTATTTAGTTCACAGATCTGGAGGTGCAAAGGCATGACTAGTATCAGCTCAGCTCTGGTGAGGGCCTCATGCTGAATGGAAGGAAAATGTGCAACAGGGCAAGATCACATCACCAAACAGGAAGCAAGAGGGTGTGTGGTTCCACAATCCCCTCTGAGGGGAACACTCCCAGTGACCTATGGGCTACCAACTAGGGACCATCTCTTGAAGGTCACATAGCCTCTGAGAACAAATCTTTCAACAAATTCAAACCATAGCTAAACCATAGTAGCCCCCATAAATCAAAATATGCTAATTGTTTTAAAGACATGTTGATACAGAGCTTTAACTTAAACTAAGTAACATCCCTTGGGATACAATTAATATGTAAGAAATACTTGGATCCCTTACTTCCTAAAGAAAATCTTTCAATAGGTTATTTGCATAAGAAGCCATAGAAGAAGGCAGAGTCTGAGGACATGAGGAGATCTTTGCTCGCGCAGAAGCAAGCAATGGACAGCTGTCAGGATCAACAAATGACAACTAGACACACAAAAGTTAATGTCTAGTCCTTCTCCTTGCTTGCTGTTTGATGCAATGAACAAAACCCCTAATGTGTACACCTCACAGCACCACCAAACCTCAAAGTCATGTTTGCAATCACATACCTTTCTGTTTACATCATGAAAGCCATCAAGCAGCACTGTATGTCAACTGAAAATCAAGCTAAAGCTAGGATATGGAGAGAGCTTTAAACAAAGGCCCTGGCCACCTCTGATTGTGCTGCTGGGCATCACTGCTGAGCAGGTGAAGCCTCCTCCCCATCAGCTTCAGGAAGAGGCTCCCCAAGGGAGCAGCTCCACAAAGCCAAAAGGAAACGAGCCTTTCCACGTGAGTAACTTGCTGAAAATCTATCATTTTTCATTGCTCTGGTTTATTAGTTCTGAAATTTGTACTCTGAAAGTAGTTCACAATTTATAATTATGCAGATACTATTTCTTCTTCAACTATGACATAAATTAAAATACAAAAACTGACACAGTATTTCAAGGATCACATTTCCAAAAGCATAAAGGAAGTTATGCAGAATTTAAATCAACTGATGAATGGATAAAGAAAATGCAGTATATACACACATTGGAATATTATTCAGCCATAAAGAAATCACAGGCAAATGGATTGAACTAATGATTATCATGTTAAGGAAAATAAGCCAGACTGAGAAAAAGTATTTCATGTTCTTTCTCATATGCAGAAGTCCTTAAAAATGAATGACAGGAATGTAAAACAGGTTCTTTTGGAGGGTGGGTACCAGTGGGAGGGTGGAAGGCAAAAGGAGAGTGTGAAGGAGGAGATGCATATTATACTCATGTATGAACACAGAATTATGAAACATGTTGAAATTGTTTTAAGAAGGCGAGAGATAAGGGGGAATGATGGAGGGTGAATTTGATTGAGGTACATTGTACACATGTGTAAAAGTAATATGCTAATTAAAAATAAAATAAAAATCCAGACTTAACTAATTAAATATAATTCTTATCTCAGATGGTATAAAAAGACTTTTCAATGATCACGAATGTGATGACTGCTTTGATATTTGGTACTAACAAAGTAAGGGAAGAAAGAAGTGGGGGATCCTTGTTTACAGAAGCCCCATTCTGCCAGCAAGAAACTTATTTCAAGCACACCAGACTAGCTACCTATACACCCAAGAGAAATCCATTTAAGTATTTCCTTTCAGGTTTTCATTCAGCTGAAAATTTCTCTCTCTGAAGCAACTGTGAGCATTTGGAAAACCACTGTTCTATGTCTCATCTGTTGAAAAAGCACACTCACTCTAGTCTCTATCCCAGCTCCACCCAAAAGGATGTGCAGAAACTCACAGGTGGAAGCATAACAGGTGGAAATTACCATGTGACTTCCACATGATGGTCGTATCCATGTGGGCAAAGAGGAAGAAATGAGATAGTTATATTAGCATGCAGGACATTGCCTCAGTCTGCTTTGTACTTTACTTGATGCCATGCCCATCTATGTCTGCAATCATGCCTTCCCACAAAGAGATTAAGAAAGATTAAAAATGTTGGAACAGCGCCAAGAACTGTTCACATGCAGAAT